TAGATTACCTGACCTAGTAACTAAATAATTTTGATAAAAGATCGTTCGATTACATTTATTGAAGCATCAATTTCAAATCTTCTCTTAAATCGCCATAATGTATAATCTTTAATTTTCTAATTAAAGAATTTAGGTATTTAAGGATGTTTTGAACTTCGGATGACATGGTGCATCATCAAACCATCATAAAACAACAATCAATATATTCTCGAGGAGGCATTTAGTTAAGGACAAACCTCATGTGCACTGCTCCGAACCTTTTTTGTGGGTGTCCTCATGGTGACAAACTCTTCTGCTGATGTTGGATGGATACCAATTGTGGCATCAAAATCTGCTTTTGTCAAACCAGCTTTGACAGCTACAGCAAACCCCTGGAAATAAGACATAACTTTATAGGAAATGCAATTTTTTCCATTAAAAAGGTTGAAAATGAGCATTGAAGAATGAATGATATTGACTACCTGTATTATTTCTGGTGCATCATCACCACACATGTGGACACCGAGAACTTTGTCCGTCTTTGCACAGACAACAATTTTCATAAATACTCTGTCTGTGAGGCCAGAAAGTGTAGCCTTTAAAGGCCTAAAGTTTGATGTGAAAATGTCTACATCACCATATGCATGTATAGCCTGCAAAAAAACTTCTTATAAAAACAAAATGACAAGATCAATTGTAGCAGTATCTGGTGCATGTCATTGCCACTTCACCTGTTCTTCAGTCAGACCAACTTGCCCAATTGGTGGCTGTGAAAATACTGCAGATGGTATAGCCCTGTATAGAGAGAAAAAAAGAAAACTTCATTAGACAACTTAGCACTTGATTTGGTTAGTATATTTTGTAGGGAGGGGAAGGGACGAGAAGATCAATACTTTTTTTACTAATTTATGCATAGTTATTAGGGATACATCAGAAAAGTACTACCTATGTCCAAAAAAAAAGTCGTGTTAGTCTTTGCAAAACTTTTCAATTTTGTTAAGGTACATCAGCAGCAGCCAATAGAGTCCCAACTACTCTTAATTAATGCCTACTCATATTTTAAAAATAAATATGTTGATTTAATTAAATTGCTTATTCTTTACTTGTTAAACTATGAAAAAATAGCTTCATTTGATCAAACATGACTTAATGCTGAACAAACAATATATGCTTGAAAGTTGAAACATGATTATTTTGGGGATGGAGTTTTTCTATATACTTTCACACCTCCACTTCCCTTCGAAGTGAGAGAAAATTACTAATCATTAAAATAAATATCACCACTCCTCTCCCCACCTCTCCAAATTATCCAACCAGGGAAAAGGGGGATTAGTGAATCCTCTTCTAAAGATTTATTCCGATTTTTTTTCTAGAAGAGGAGATGTAAATTCATCATGCACACACACTCACATTACATATGTATTTACATCATTTATCATGCATGCTCCATATTTTATTTACATTGAGCCATTTTATAGCCACATTTAATCAATTATGCACATATTATTTACACATAAGCTGAAGTTATGCTTTATCAGAGCACTTTTAAGGCATAAACAAGTTTATAGCAAGGAAAGGGTGAGCACCTGTAGTCTGGTTTACTAGGCTCATTAGCAAAAAGTGTCTTTGCCAATGCTCCTCCTTCCATCAAAGCAACTGGAGTTAAATTCACTCTATCAGTAACATCTCCAACTGCCCAAATTGATGGAATTGATGTACGGGAATACTCATCGACCTATTAAAACAATTCCAATTACAAATCCCTTAATGCATGACTTCAAAGTTCATTGGTTTAAGAGGAAGACGTTTATGAAAAGAACGGTTAAAGGTTTGTTGTAAGTAGCAAACCTCTATTGCTCCACTAGTTGTCATTTTGACTCCCAATGTCTCCAGTCCTAAATTCTGCCCACAAAGACAACAAGCACAAACTCAAATTAGCAATCTATCAGATTTGAGATGAGGAATCATCCCATCAACCAGCTAGTCCATCAAGCAAACAACATGAACAAATATGCAACAATATCAACCACCACCACATATTTCCTATATAATTAAGGAATGTTATAACTTATGATTGCTTTCCCTTTATAATGCCTAGGGAAAAAAAGTTTAAATGATAACTATCATACCTTTGTATTTGGTCTACGTCCTGTGGCAAACATGATATGAGAAAATCCATCAAATGTCCCTTTATTAGTTTTCAAAGTAAGTGAGCCATCCGGTGACTTAACAATAGCATGTGGTGATTCCTCTGTGTGAAACTCTATTCCTCCCAGTACCATTTGTTCCCCAACAAAGTCCCTGATCTGCATGATAAATAATGTGTACCCATGAGGACAAGAAGGAAACTTTTGGGTAAAAGATAAAAAGGAAAGTAGTTCACTCACATCTTCATCAAAACCTCTTAGGACCTTTTTCTGTCTTATAAAAACATGGACCTCACTTTTCAACCCATTAAAGATCCCAGCAAACTCAAGCGCAATGTAACCACCGCCAACAATGGCAATCTTCTTTGGTTTTGTGGGTAAGTCCAATGCTGCATCAGAGTCTATAGCATATTCACTTCCAGGAATGTCTGGAATAAATGGGCGCCCTCCTACTGAAATTAGTATATTTCTAGCTGAGTAGAGTTTCCCATCAACCTCCACGGTGTGTGGGTCGACTACCTGAAGAAACAGGAAAATAAAATGACATGCCTAATAGATATTTAAACAATCACTTTTATTCTATTTTTGCCTTTAACTTTGTCAGACCTTTCCACGCCCTTCGATAAGAACTACACCAGCTTTGTTAAGAATGCTTTTGTAGATGCCAGTGAGACGCTGCAACTCTGCATTTTTATTTGCAACAAGGGTGCTCCAGTCATGTTTTGGCTCCGTGTCATGATTCCATCCAAATCCCCGACTCTCCTCAAATTCATGAGCATACTTTGATGCAAAAACAAGCAGTTTCTTTGGGACACAGCCACGAAGCACGCATCTTTGGTTTAATAGAAACACCCACAAAAAAGATAACAAAAATAAGAATAAAAACACAAACCACAAGCTTATCCAGTGCGTCATGAACCAGAGCATCTATGGTTAGATTATTTCTACTCAATTGCTTTCTTTTTTGTTACTGGATGCGCAAGAAAACACCAAAAGAATCATACTTTAAACTTAAATCTTTACTATTATATTATAACAATAACTGGATTCCATCGCTCTTAGAACAGAAAAATGAATAGCATATCAGGGAAGACCTCAGCTTTAGTTCATCTAATACCAAAGCGATATCTCACCCTCCACCAAAGGAGTTATAACTTTATCCCAATGCCCTGGGCATTGAGTACCAACTAAGTATTCACTCAACTATGGGTGCTAAACTCAAGTGTTAATGCTAAGTTAACATTCTAAAAGCAGCAATTTTGCCCAATCGTTTTCAGTCTAATACATAAAAGCATACTGCAATGACCAAGATATATAACCCGGGAGCAAATGTTCGAGAAGAAAAACTCACGTGCCGCCAACGCCGCCGGCCGAATCTGAAGAAATGGTGCCGAAGGGAAGCTCACAAATAGCGACAGAAGCCCAGTAATTCGCGGCAAATCGAGAAGCCCTAACGCCGCCACTCCCGGCGCCTATAGTAAAGAGGTCGAAATCATAGTTCCTCGGCGCCTCGGAGGCGGCGGAAGCATTAGGGAACTCGGCTCGAGCGGTGGAGAATCGGCGGCAGTTGGAGAAGGATTGGCGGCGGAGATTGATGGAATGAAGTTTTCCGGTTGTAGTGCTCAGCGAAAGAGACGAGAATCTCGGGAGGTGGTTGCGGAGAGCGTAAAAAGCCGGTGAAGATAGCGTGAAGCTGAGCTTTGGAGTGCTGAGAGAAGTCGCCGCCATTTTCTACGACGATGAAGGGGACGGCCGAAGGGGTGACACGAGCTAGTATCCCGAACTGAATTGCTGCTTTATTTAGGTTGATTAATTATTTTCTTAATTGTAAAAAAAGATGTTTTAGTCTTAAATTAAGGCCCAATATGTGGTTAAACTAAACAAATTTGTTCATCTGAATTAAACCATTCATTTTTCTTTGATTTTTACACGTTTTTTATTTGAGGTATGCTAAAGGTATACTAAGGGGCTATTTGTTTCAGCCTCTTAATGGTTCAGCACTTAATGGTTCAGACTGTTTGTTTCAGCCTCTTAATGGTTCAGATATCTGAATGGTTAAGAGATTTGCCTCTGAATGGTTAAGTATTATACAGAGTCTGAATGGTTAAGACCTCTTATCTGAATTGATCAGACATTTGCCTCTGAATAGTTAAGCAATATACTAACTCTTAATGGTTCACACCTCTTACTGGTTCAGCACTTAATGGTTCAGACCTCTTATTGGTTCATCACTTACCCATTCAGAAGTTGTCAAACAGCCCCTAAGTTTGTTGTCTACTTTTCTTCTCTTTGGTGTGTCAAGCTTTGTTACTCCGGAGTATATGGCATGGCATAAAATGGGCTTTGTTATATGGCATGGCATAAAATGGGCTTTGTTATATGGCATGGCATGGTATAAAATGGGCTATGTTAAAGCTAACTTTATGGAAAGTGCAACAAATTGAGAGAAGACAAATGATTTTTTTTGCAATACAACTAGGGCAATGCTAGGGGTATACACCAAGCCAACACAGACACACACAGACACTTTGTGTCTGTGCAACACAGACACACACAGACACAAAGTGTCTGTGCAACACAGACACTTTGTGTCTGTGTGTCTGTGTTGGCTTGGTGTACATTTGGGATATCCCATGTTGGTGTATCCCTTCATACAACTATCATTGTGAAATTTAGAACATGAATGAATAAAGAATAGAATTTACATGCCAGACATATGTTTCGGGGATTCGGACTGATGTAAGAACCCAAACAGTGCAATATTAAAAAAAGGACATGCTCCGTATGTTTTAGTAGTCCAAATTTCACTTTAATTAGTAGGATGAAGATTAATTATGAATATACGTAGTACAAAATGCAGCACTCATCGTTTTCCTCAGTTAAAAAGCTCTATTTAACTTGGTTGAATTGAGCAAGATCACTTAGTCAATGGAGAAAAAAGGAGATTAAAGATGACGATATGAAAATCAAAAGTTTGCATAAATACAACAAGATCCGAATCCAAAGTATTTTACAACATGATCAGTAATTTGAATTTGACAGAGAAGACAAGAAGAAGAAGAAGAAGGAAGTTCAGTCTCAAAGGGACAACCCAGACTCCTCGTCCTCATCGAGGGTGGATATGTAGACCATGTACAATGACCAAATTAACCCCACCACGCCCAGCGGCACCCACCCTAGAAGATTGTTGTTCAGCCCAAACGGAAGCCCCGTCCCTTCCGTGCCCATCCTCTCATCCACCAGCGCCATGGCCGCCGGGCTCGTCACCAACGCCGCCGCTGCCGCCGCAATCAGAGATGCCCCGCCGCCGCCCGTCCCAACCGATCTCGACTCGCTTTCTCCCTTCCTCTCCGCCGAGCATCTCACCTTCCCCGCCGCCGGTCTCATCGCCGGAAGACCTGAGGAATTGAACAGGATCCGTCCGGATCATCGGGGATTCGGACTGGTGTAAGAACACTAACAGGGAATATTATTGATGGAATCAAAAGGCGATGAACGTACCGAGAGCAGAGGAGGGACGAGATCCGGGAGATTTGGGCACGAGCGCGGCACGTGCGAGGACGGATGTCGTAGCGCATGCGGAGATGGCGGCCATTTCTGTACTGGTTCGTTTGGTGAAGAAGAGGAAGAAGAAGAAGAAGAAAGTGTGTGAAATTAAGGGATTGTTTGGAGGGGAGGAAATAAGCAGTGGTGGTAAACAAAGATTAGATGGATATCGCCTCATCCATTCAAATCCAGTCACATTCCTCCACGTGGCACTTCATCTCCGTGGGCCCGTTTGAATTTGGGCGCCTGGGTTATGCCCACTTCATCCAAATCAATCTTTACATTTCACTTTTTTGGTCAAATTTCACAAACTTTGAGGGTAAAAAATGTATATTTAGTGTAATTAAGTTTGTTTTTAAATGTAGTTAAGATATGTCGAATTTTATACGGTAGCAAATAGTCATGTACAAGTATATTTAGTAACGGTCAAAATCTCGTATTAGTGACTATAAAAAATATATAAATGAACCTCAAATTTTAAGACTATTTCATAAATAATTTTTTAGGTCAAATACGATCAAACAATTTTTTTCACATATAATTTATGAAGGATTGATTATGGAATTGTTTTTAAAAATGGAAGATTATTTAAAGACCATCTATGAGGCATACTCTAAAAGTTATTTTGGGATGAAGAGGATAATTCTCCTCTATCCATACTTAGAGTACTTTTGAAAAGAGAACCAACAAATGTTATTTTGAGCTATGTAGAAAAGGTGACTATCAATATTCGAGGCAGTTCCCATGATATTATCCGGCAATGTCATGAGATAATCCAAGAATACTCATGTGCCCCCATTCGTAAAATTACCGTTTCTTAATTAAACAGAATATAAGTTTGTTGATAAATACGGAGTACTTCGTAAGTTTTAATCTTTGACCCCTTACTAACTTTAGTAGCATATCACAACAAGAGAACCAACTAAAGGGGCTACAAATATGCAGGGCTATGAGTCAATTCTCTCTCTTTGGCTTTTAAGATAGTTTATGTTCAACTATTATTTTGATAATTTTCCGTACTTTCATCGATTTAAATTAGTTTTTGTTGGTTTGGTTGATTTTGACTAACTTTTGTCAAATTGGGACCCTAAAAACACAAATAAAATAGCATATGATAACTTTCGTCCCCTATACATGTGTGCAACCTAGAGCACTTTTTTTCTTTTTTACAAAAGAAACAAAACAAACTCAATTGATGGTATAGCCGAGGAAAAAGAAAATAACATTGGCCGGCTGATGAGCATTAACGCATTCCCAATTAGAAAATGAAAAAAATTAGGGTGCCCTGATTTTCATGCAAGTGTTTGGTCCGAACAAGCTATATCCAAATGGGGACACAAAAATTGTTCAAAACTTTTGGGAGAGCTATTGATTAGATGTGTATATTGCACTGTTGAAGGTATGGGAGTTCATAGTTAACATACTTCCTCCAAGCAGACCTGTACTTCTCGATCCCCATTTCCAACCACGGTTTCATTGCCCCATTGAAATGGATTACCGCTGCCCGCTCAATCTCACGTTGCTCCCTGCCCGAGTCGTAGCCCAACCCGAGGAGGTGCCACCTTCTGTCCAGAGCCAGTGTCTGGTTGTAAAAGGTTATCCAGCCTATGGGCAAACTGCCGGCTGTCAGTATTGGATTCTTGTTCCCCTGTGCCATCATCATCCAAAGTAAACACATAGTAGGAATGAGCAAATATGAGTATATAACCATAGGGGTCCTTTTGGAATTCGGAAAATATAAGTTAAATGAAATTGTTTGAGATTTATTTAGAAACAAAATGAAAAACAATCACACAATTCTACCTCAAAAACACTAGGCAAATAATTTAGAGAAGGAAGAAAAAGAAAAGTTGTTATAGATTAGAGAAGGAAGAAAAAGAAAAGTACGAAAATAAATCTGATGAAGTTGTTATAGATTCGTACCAGCTGCAAATACTTGTGATAGACTCCGGTTAAATTCTGCCTCCTCCATTCTTGCAGATCAAACAAATTCATCCCAAATGCCCATGTGCATGTTTCCTTATCAAATCTATTTGCCATATTGGGGTCAGTGAAGTTTATAAACACATCCATCCGGCGAAATGAAGGATCTTCTTGTTCACAGGTCTGTACAGCTCCATTCACTTTACCCCTCATGTTAATTTTCCAAAGAGCCGAGAGATCCTTTTGCACAACTACGTCATGGTCAAGAAACACAATCTTGTCTAGTGTAGGAAAAATATCTGGCAAATAAAACCGCAAGTGGTTCAACGCAGACATATATTTTGGATCAAGTGAACCTTGCTTCTGCACAATTGAATGGTATTGGGTGTATAACCATTTAATATTTTCAATGCTCTGGATATGAATTGTTGCATTGCCTGGAGGGTTCGACAAAAACCACATCGACATTGCAGGGAGGGTAATAGAATCAGTGAATATGTGAAAGACAATTCTCTCGGAATTCTGTCAGATATAAAGTTCATCATCAGTACAATTATAGATAGGATTCTTTTCAACTTGTATCAAATACATTATTTGATCATCTAAGGATCAGATGACAGACCTAAAAAAACACATATAAGAAAACTGTGTTTTGCCAAAACAAGTACTCTCAAATATTATCTATATGTACACTTCTTTCTTGGAACCCTCATCCTTTCCCACACATCCAAAAAAATTAAAATGCTATAAGCAAAAAACCTTCCTTTACCGTTGTGCTCCTGTCTCTTGAGCCCGGGATTGCATTGATACATCCTACATTCCGTGTAGGGATATATGCGTACACACACTCCCCAGACTCCACTCTGTGAGATTATTACTAAGTCTTTTGTTGTTGTTTATGAGCAAAGGACCTAGTTATGACTATATCAAACCAGAGCCTCACCAAGAGTACAGAATAAATAAGGGTGGTTGTTTCTGATTGTAAAAGCTAACTCTGAGTTTGCATGAAACAGAGATCAAGAAAATTGGGGTTTCCAAAGTGTGACAAAATTCTGACAATACAATCTAGGGGTGTGAAAGTTATTACAGTTGGTAGGGGTTCAGAAGCACTTCACACCTCATGTTTCTGACATCATATTACATTGTTACAGTTGCAACTCTATCAAAATAATAGCCCTACCAAATACTTCAGAGTTTTGATTAATTTTACATACAACAATCAATGTCAAACAGTCTTGATTTGAACAAATATTCTCATAGTACAAAATTCTATTTCTTTTGAATTGATCCATAGAATTATAATCAAATTTAGTTTTGTCGAACACCATCTATACCTAAAAGCAATGAATAGATGACAGCATAGAATGGCACCAAAAAAAAGAAGAGGTAAAGTAATGACTAACATACCATGGCAGAGGAAACGGTTGAATTGACAACAGCAGAACATGCCAAAATGTTGTCAGAGAATACAGCAAAGTGATATCGATCTGGATGATGCAACTTATGTTGGTTAGGGAATTCCCTCTCTTTAAGTGACAGTGAGAAATATTCAGCAGTCAATCGCATGGAAAGGCAATGTAGGCCCTTAGGTGTAGCTCTTTCAGCTATCTTTAGAAGAAAGCCAACATGATTCTTGTGTGCTTTGAGTTGCTGTTCAGTATTATATGTCATAGCACGAAGTTTTTTCACCATAGGTGTGCATTCCGGGTAGATGCGGCTAGCTTTTGATAAGGTCACTTCCATGACTTTCATCTTCTGCAAAGCCCTGAAAAAGAGGCTAACTAATTTGTAGATGCAAAACCAACATACAGATTATTTAAACATCATTTTTTCCCTTTTCGTCCAATGACTATTAGGACATCCCCTTGGTTGGTCTACCACTTTCTGTATTCACTTATTCATGCACTAGTATGAATTTCTTGTCACGTCTGACACTTTCCAGGTTCCTATGCAGCTAAAACAAACCAAAAAATAAACAAGTTGGCTTGATAAGTAGTTGGAATGATAACAATGATGAGGTATTTGTAGTCATACACCAAAGGCATAAAGAATGAGAGTGGGAACCAAAAGTGAAAATGACCTAATGATAGTGTGGGACAAGTGAAAACTTTGTGTATTGAAACCCAAATCAGTCTCGGAACTAAGACTTGCCCTTTTCCCTCATCGGTCGGTTCCCAAACCTCTCCAATCCTTGCGTGATGACTCCACCTCCTAAGTCCACCTCGAACCAAACAACATTTTTGCACATGCACATGGGCTAACCTAGGTTCACCAAGTTTTCAATGAACATGTGTTCATCCAGCATTCCAACTTCACTAGGTTTGAATTAGTGCACCCCAAACCAAACGAAAACTAAATGGACCTACTTCAGGAATCAGAGATTTTAAAATTTAAAACAAAATGATCTAGGTGGTTTGCAACTTTGGCCTCTTTCTGCATCTCAATGTTCTGTGGAGTCAAATCAATTCATTTATGTTGAATTAAAGGCAAGTTAATCAATTGTAATTACTCTAAATACATGTGTGTGGGGGGGGGGGGGGGGGGGGGGNTCAGAATCCTTAGTAATGTCACCAATAGCTTTTTCCAGATCTTTGATTCGCAGCTTCATCTCTTTCACAAAATGAGATTTGCTACCTTGGGGAGAAAAACTCAGGTATAATTTTGCTCTAATAAGCTGGTCTTTTATCTCCTTCAACTTCACATCCAGTGGCTTCTGGGAAATGGAATTTCTACATGATCATGTTGCACCCTCTTTGACTCATAAATCAAGCCATATACATTTACAACAAAGTTGATAACTAATTTAAAAGGCGGGGTGATTTGGCAGTTTTTACAAAGTAAACTGCAGGGAGAGAGAGAAAGAGAGAAATAATAAGATTCCCATACAAACAACAGAAACCTTATATCTTTAAAATGAAAAAACCTAGTTACATTATCTGTCCAATATCACTACCAATCCACCATTGGGGTACGTGAAAACATAAGATACACTCCATAATTCTAATACATCTGTACTGCAACTTTTTTTAGTTGACCTTAGACACTTCCAAATAATCACACTTGCAAGATGGACGTAGTATATTTAATGTGCAAAGATTTCCTAAATGGATGGATAAAAAGGAACAAGGAATATTGGTCAACCGACAGATGAAAAAATAAGAGAGTACATACATTTCCCTTTGGTTTTTGTACTGCTTTCTCATTCTGACTCGATTGATTCTCTTGTTTAACATCTTGCAAGTTTCCTGAAAAATCTAAAAATGAAGTTTATACATGACTAAAAAATGGATTCCAAACACATAATCCATGACATTGGACTAACACGCACCATTTTCTCCCAAGGCAGCATTATTTGACCTTTCAGACTGACCAGACCTATTATTCTCAATTACAGGACTGGTACGAAACTTGTCGTCTTTGTAAACAGCATGGTGTGGCTCTTTGACATTTTGGCCTTCTTCCTATACCACAGCACATTAAAATTCACCGAAATAAGTTATGAAGCCCAGTAAATGCATAAAAATCTGGAAATTTTTTCAGAAATATCAATTACCTCCTCTATTGCACGGGAGGCATAAGCATCGGTTCTATGCTTCTGAATCAAGAAAAATAAAGTGTTTAATCAATAATGTAAGCATACTATTCTTTGATTGCCAAAGATTGAAAATGTTCATATGAAAAAAATGGGGTTATGGATGTTCAAGGAAAAAGAAAATCACAGAATGTAAACCCCTTTCGAGATCACTCCCTCTGGAATTCAAGAGGCAGAGTAGATGTAGTTACAATGCATCTATGACAGACCAAAATTGAAAATTAAAAATGGGAACTCAAATAAGCAAATTATATCTTCCTTTGTCATGTTCAGTTCAGGCAAATCAAACACCGATCAGAAATCAAAACACAAATCTAAACCCTACTTAAGGGACAAAAAAATCTTACCACAATAGATAAATCTTCAATAAATTGGCTCGACTCTGCGCCCAATCAAACATGAAAACAAAAACAGATTATGAAATCAAAACGGGTACAGGTTCAACCACAAACTACTGCAATTCGGGAAACGGTACCAACCATGAACATGAAAATGTTTTATCCTGTGAGGTAGGAAGAAGACAGGAACGCAAAAACAGACGACGAGCAGGATGAGGATGCAAATCCTCGTGCGCTTATGGAACTTCCTCATCTACATCAACCAGAGGCGCATTTCGTAATCTTCTGATTCCCAAACCTGTCGAGAAAATTAGCGGTTCTACGCAAGCGCACTGCAAGTCCGATCTTACACAGAGAACGTAGATGTAAGACCAGTCTCTGCAACTGACTAGGGTTTTTCCGTGGTTTTTCCCGATTCGGTCCGCGAAGAAGACGTGATTTCAATAACTGGTACAGATTCAGCGATGGAGATGGGGTGCCATTTTCGTATGGGCAAGCAATGAACCAGATTCGGCTCGGAAGGGAAGTTGATTTCCTTTTTCGGCAATTTATATTTTCCGGTGGGGCTTACGGACTGACTACGGAGTACTCGGCTTTTGGAGGGGGATTTGAAACTGCTGACCTCATTTTAAGAAAAAAAAACAAAATATTTCACATTTTCATTTTGTAAACATTTCAAAAAATATAGTTTTGGGTATATATTTATTTTATATTTTAGTTTTTTAAAATAATTATACCTCAACCCCACTACTGGTCTAGACTATAGTTGAATTCAATTATAATTTCAATATGATCGAAAGAGAATAAATTCTGTCTTCGGTATATGCATGAACCTCATACTTAGCATGATCATTCTTTTTCCAATATTGTCGAGATTCAAATCTCATGCTCATCTTTTCAACCAGCTGAGCTACACCCCAAATAAATAGACTTTAAGCCTCTTTTGTTGGTATGGTGCAGTGACTTGAACTCGGGGTAAGTTCTTTTTTTTGGAGGGGGTATGTTCTATTTTAGATTTTTAGTAATGAGTATATACCTCATAATATATATGTCCCTTATCCAAAAATTTACAATATGTTTTTAATTTTTAATATTTTTCTTTAAATTCTATGAAAATCGAATTGTAAAACATTTTATGGGACTAGTTGTAGATTATTGAGGTGATTTTTTATTCGTATACGGCAATCTAACAAAATTGAAATATATCACACAAATATTACTCTATTTTTAAATTGTAGGAAGTAGTAATTATGCGGTGGGCACAGTTTGATATTTTTATAAAACTCGTATCGTATCAGTACTTTTCAAACGATTTGATTTCATGACTAAAATCATTCGATACTATGTCGTTTGAAATGGAATGGTACCGTGTCAGACCAAGGTTAAATCACGCCTTATTGCTTTGATGGGAAAAAAGTATATGTACTCTTAAAATATGATCAACAAAATTTACAAAATAAAAAAATGGTGCATCAATATTAATGTATATGCATTTTTGCTCAACAAATATATTATTTAGTTATAATTTTTTGACAAACATACATGAAAACTAAATTTTTTATAAAAAGAATATAAATTGAATTGTAATGAAGTTAATTGTACTCCAAAAAAAGCATCAACTAAAAAAAGTACTCCAAAAGAGTTCTCTTTGAGAATGCTTCACCAACAAATTGAAGAATTAATGTCTTTCAATTCTAATATGTTTGTTTAACCAAATAAAGAATCGACATCTTATACAAGACTTCATCATTAGAAGAATAGACATTTTTTCAAAAGGCTTCACTAAAAGAAAACTTGGTCTCTTAAGAAAATCAAATAAAACACTGATATCTTTAAAATGATTTACAATTGAAATCATCTAAAAAGATTCACCAATATAATACTCCAAGTTTACGTCTTCAAAAAGGTTTCACAGATAAAAAACTTGACGTCTTCAAAAAGTATATTTCACTCCATATTGATTAGTCTAATTCCAAGTATTAAAGCTCAATTTACCTCTACAATGTTACTCACATTGTTCACTTTGATTTTTCGAGACATCTTTTCACGATTTTCAATGTAAAATTTTGATTGTCATTCTACCAATATCTTTATTTATAGATAGATATATATTACTCCGTATAAAAATATAATATCTCAAAAATTTGTTTCAAAATTTATTATTGATATTAAATGTATATTAGAAATAATTTATACTCCGTATTTTCTAAGATGGGGACATGGGGTTCATACTTTTTTAAGAGACATGGGCTTAGTTTTTGCATGTCGTTTAGCACACGGACAGCCCCACAATCAGGCGGCTATCATCATATCAGCCAGCCATGCACTGATGCAAACATCTGCAAGACACATACTACATGTACCCTTTACCTAACTGTCACCTCACCTCCACATAAACCTTCCCCAATCCAATCCAAGAAATTGTACTAATTCCCAAAAGAGTGAAAAAAAAATGGCATCTTTTTCCCCTTCCCAAATAATTCCTCCCATGAAGTCCCATCTCAGTGTCACTCCCACTTATTCACTTAACCCCTGCAATTTCAGCTCATAAGAAAAAGATTAGATGAAAGAGTAACTTCAATTCGATCCTGCAAATTTCAAGATCCAATTTTTTTAGTTTCTTGAATCTGCAATGGCGGATTCTTCTTCTCATTCTTCTTCTGCAGCAGCTGCTGCAGTGAGTATCCCGGCGGGCGAGGTGCCCCTGAAGACGATGATGGTGGCGAAGAGCTCGGTGTCAAGAAGCTGGGTTTTGTTTGACAGGAAAGGGCAAAGCGCGGTTCTTGATTTGGACAAGTACTCAATCTTGAAACGGGTGCCCGTTCACACCCGAGACCTTCGGATTATTGACCCTCTCCTCTCTTACCCCTCTGCCATTCTGGGCAGAGAGAAAGTCATCGTCCTCAACTTGGAGGTCATTCAGATCAGATGAATTCAATTCTTTAATGAATTTCCATTCTTCTTCTTCAGTTTTCTTTTTTCAACTGTATCTGAACTGCAATTCACCCTTTTCACAGCACATCAAAGCTATAATCACTACAGAAGAGGTAAAAGTTTGAAATTTACTTTCTCCCCAGTAATTAAATGAATTCCCTGAACTGTGTAATCAAGCATCAAATGAAATGGTTTTGGAAGGTACTGCTTCGTGACCCATTGGATGACAATGTTATCCCCATTGTTGAGGAACTTCAAAGAAGGTTGCCTCTGGCGGCTAAGGGCGGTGGCCTAGCTGACAGAGAAGACAATGACCGGCCACAACCAGCCACAGAAGAAACTGATTCTGATCAGCAAACCGGTATACATTTATATGGTTTTCTTTCTTCATATGTATACCTTATAGATTAACTGGAATTGATGTTGTTCTTCTGCATATGTAATGAGGAATGCAGAGTTTCCCTTTGAATTTCAAGCTCTGGAAGTGGCTCTAGAAGGTATATGCAGCTCTCTTGACACACAGACAAGGGATTTGGAGACTGCTGCTTACCCGGCTTTGGACGAATTAACTGCAAAGGTAAAAGAAATGCAATGTTTGGTTGAGTTTTAGATAAATCTCAGATCAGACATTACAATATAAATGTGCAGATTAGTAGTCGTAATCTGGACCGGGTGCGAAAACTGAAGAGTGCAATGACAAGATTGACAAACCGGGTTCAGAAAGTACGTCGATCTGCTTCATCTTCTTTCTTTCAACTATATAGGAGCTTTACTTGCATTTGTGTAAATGGGCTGTAATTGGGTTGTTTATGGTTCATATGAAAATCTACACGGGCTTAATCATGAATGCGATCGATATACATTCCAGGTGAGGGATGAACTTGAAAACCTCCTTGAAGAAGATGATGACATGGCAGATCTATACTTGTCCAGGAAATTGGCAGCTGCTGCTTCATCTTCTTCTTCTCCAGAGAGTTGCAAAAATGCCGCGGTTCCTGACTGGTTCCATGACTCTCCAACTCTAAGCTCTCAATTGTCCAGAACAATAAGCAGGAGATCATCAAGTCGCGGCGAAGCTCATCATCATGATGTTGAGGAACTTGAAATGCTGCTTGAGGTTGGTTCCTTCACACTCTACAAAGCCCAATTTGAGAGAGAAAAAAAAAAGAATCCATCCCACTTTTTTGGTCTATTATTACTTCATTAATACACATTTCGTAACAAACCTATTGCCAATCAACCAAATCAACTAAAAACTCAAACTTGTGACGGTAAGATCATAAAAAGATTTTATACTCTAACACGGATGTGTGTCTTATAAATGCAGGCTTACTTTGTACAGATAGAGAGCACTATGAACAAGCTGACAACGGTTTGCATATACATATACAAATTAAACCTCACTATTGTCTAAGCAGTATATATATATATATATATATATATATATATATATATATATATATGCATAGACATATACTTCATATAATGCATGAGTTAATAGAGTTATGGTTTTCTTGTTGGAAAAAACCTGCATTGCAGTTGCGAGAATACATTGATGACACGGAAGATTATATCAATATACAGGTAACTAAACACGATTGTATTGCTTCGTTCCAGCTTGTGGTTGTAGATATATGAAAGGTTTTATATATAAGCTGGATCTATATGAATAATGGTGCATCGATCAATTCCTTGGTTGCAGCTAGATAATCACAGAAACCAGCTGATCCAGGTAAATGCCTTTTATGTTTGGGCAAAATTGGCTACGATAATCGCTACTTTGACGCGTTATTATGACCCGGGGTATGTGTATAATGTATATTATGCAGCTGGAGCTGTTCTTGAGCTCGGGGACGGTGTGCTTGACAGTGTATTCAATGGTGGCGGCCATATTCGGGATGAACATCCCACATCCTTGGAGAGACCATCACGGCTACCTTTTCAAATGGGTGAGTACTCTACTTTCCAACATTAATCATGCTTGGGGAAGGAACATGAGTGTCGCAGACATACAGTGAGACAGTTCCACTGCATTGTCTGTGAGATACTATGGTGTCTGTCACACTTTGTTTGACTTAAGACTCTGTATAATACTTAACCATTCAGAGGCAAATGTCTGAGTCATTCAGACATCTGAATCATTAAGAGGCTGAAACAAACAGTTTGAACCATTAAGTGTTGAACCATTCAGACATCTGAACTATTAAGACGCTGAAACAAACAGCCCCTTAGTCTAAACCCGGTTTGCATTTTGACAAGTCTTTTTCAATTTAGAAAATACTTGGGCCCGTTTGGTGAGACTAGAAGATATGAGTTTTTATCTCCTGAATTTGAGAGATATCAATACGGGACTTGAAATCTTTCTCACCCGTCGACCATCCACTGCCATTAGCTGCCGCTGTCACCGCCAACCACCCTGTTTCCGGCGATCCATGCCAATCAGCAATTACGTCGTGATTTTAAATATCTCCAAACTACTTTATTTCCAATTTTGAAAATTATATCATTACTTTTAAATTTTAAAATTCATATCATATCTTCAAAACTTACCACCATAGTTTTCAGAACCGGACCAGTGACCGAACCGGTCAAGGTACTGGTTCACTGGTTTACTGGTCGAACCAGTGGTTCAACTGGTCGAACCGGTGGTTTAAACATATTTCAAAATTATATAAATATAAATATATATATATATATGTGTGTGTGTATATATATTTATATGTATATATATTTACACACACATACATACATACATATAGACACACACATTCTCATTTATAAATATCTAAAGAAAGTAATTTATAACATTTAAGTAATACTATATTAATATACTTGAGTTATTTTATAAAATTAAAAAATAAAATTTACATATTAAAAAAATATAAAAGAATTTTAAATGAAGAGTTGATTTTATTTTTTTCAAATAAGTTGTTTAATATTAAAAAAACGAAATCTTTGCATGATTTGCATTTTGTAATAGTATCAATAATATCAATGATTTTGTGTTTGACTCATAGCTATACCAAATGTTTAAGAGGTCTTGGGTTCAAACCTCCATGGAAGCATGTTTTGGAAAAAATCAGCAAAAAAAAAAAAAATAAAATAATAAAAACTGGGTGAACCGGTCCGACCGACCGGTTCTTACCGGTTTAAATCGGTTCGGGCCGGTTCGAAGCAGGTTACGGTCCAATGGGCCGGACCGGACCGGTTGGACCACCGGTTCGCCGGTTCACGGTCCGAACCGGCCGGTCCAGTCCGGTTTTTAAAACTATTCTTACCACACAAATCTTTATTGCTCCTTGTTTTTTGTGTTGTGTGTAGGTGGTCATTCTCACGTCAATGATTTGTGGGTCCCTCTTCATATCAATAGTCTCTTATGCGCGGCACAGGGGTCTCGTTGGATGATCTTCTTGATCATTTTCATCTTGTCATTCATTGATTATCATAAAAAAAGTTCGACACTGTATTTCGGATAATTTTTGCTAGAATAAAACTAGACGTACACTATTAGACTTTTGAGGATCAATATTTGGACAAAATAATATTGCAATCGAAAAAATTTTGTATTCACATTTTATGTCATATCAAAGTATCATTTTAAAGCTTTAGAGTATAGAGAAATTTACTTAAATAGGACTAAAACATAATGACTTTCCCAATATAGGACCATATGTTTTTATTTCCCAATGTAGGACTTTTGGTCATTATCAAGTAGTCATTATTCAACTAAATGTCCATCATTACTGGTCATTATTACTCCCACTAGGTCATTATTAAGTCCTATTTAGGAAATAAAAAAGTTTAAGTCCTACATTAAGAAAGTCATTATGTTTTAGTCCTATTTAGTGCAAATTTCACTAGAGTATAACGTGGTGTACATGCTTCTTTTTCAAGGCCCCTATGGGTTTATTTTTTGTTTATGCCAAACCCTTTAGCTTCTTTGATTCTCCATCCATTCGTGTTGTTGTTAGAAAAATCATCTCAATTTCTAGCGAATACAATTAATAACTTTCCCATTTTGTATCGTGAAAAATGGCAAAATCATATAGCCAATAAAAAATGGTATTCACACACAAAATTAATCAATTAAAAATGAATAGCCTTTTTGGACATCCTAGTTCTAATGAATTTTTTAGCATTTTGAATATTCCTTTTTTATAAGAAATTTTTTGCATGTTTTGATAATTTATGAACTTACTAGAAAAATTATTCTAAAAAATAAAAAGTGAAAATATTAAATTTGAGATAGATAGAATATATGTTAACCTTTTTTTTCAAACACAAAATTTTTATTTTTTAAAAAATATTACGGAGTATAAAAAAATTAAATTAAATTTTAAAAAACTTTTCCAAGAAAAGAAAACAAATAAATTAAAAAAGAGATAAAAAAAGAAACAAATAATGATAAACGAAAAACTAGAAATGAGCACAAGTACCCCATATGGTTTAGAAAAATAGACGAGAATACTCCCTTTTCGCTGGTGCTATTTGGCCCAAATGGAAGTATAAAGTGGTGTACTTTCATAGTCATGTTACTATGTAATCTCTCCGTCCCTATTTTGATTACAAAATGAGAAATACGAGGTAAAGTTATATAATAAAGGTTATATGTTAAAAAATGATATCAGAAGTTCTACTAAATAAGAGGTGATAATAATATTTTATTTTATCAAATAATCAATGAAAACATATAAATAAATAAAAGTTATTGAGAAGAAAGAGAAAATTAAATTGTAATTAAAATAAGGACAGAGAAAGCATTCCATATCATGGTAGGCAAATTTCATGAGTAATATAAATATTTTCTTATTACTTAAATAAATATTTAGTCCTTATTTTTTAATAAAACAAATTAGATTTTTTTATATAAGAAGATTTAGAAAAAGGATATGCACCCAAGTTGGAACTCATCATTGTGATTTGTGAGGCGAGCTAACTCATGTTCATGGTGCATTGAATCCACATTTCCACATGTTAATGGTGAGCTTAGAGAGGAAGCATGAAATTAAACAAGATGAAGAAGAAGGTATCTCTCTTCTCTCTATCTCATTCTCTAGTAAGATACGGAGTATTAATCGAGATATAGTCAGCAGTCAACATCACTGTGCTAACATGCGCACTACGCATTCCCTCCGCGCGACGGCGCCGCGTCTCTCATGCTCCTTGACTCTCCGCGCTCCCTCGCCGCTAGCTCCAAGACAAAATGGATTGATTACTTTTACTATACTTTAGCCATAATAGAATTTTGGATTCATGCTATAATTATTTTACGAACAAACGTCATTCTCGATTTCGTCTCCGACGCAATTCCCGTCCCCGGCACCGGCTCCAATTTATTCAATTCGCAAGCCGCAATTTCTGAGGTTTTTCATTTTTTTAATCGCATTTTTTTTTACTATTGCGCAGTCTCGAGAGTCCATCGCGTTCCGTAGATTCCTCTGCTCTTTTTGACTTTATGCTGCGAACGAAGGTGGATAGAAATTCCCGACGTAAATTTCGCGGTTCATGCGCGGTTGCGAGCATGCACTATTTGACTGCACTGAGGATCCAGATTCGCTAGGTTTTTGACGAATCGAGGTGTTTTAGACGATTGAACGCTGCGGAGATGTCGAATCAAGCGGTGAGGGCGAGGAGAAAGGCGCTCGAGGCGCGCATGACCTGTTCTCTCTGCAACAAGCTCTTCAGAGATGCTACTACTATTTCCGAATGCCTGCATACATGTGAGTCTCTCTCCCTTATACTCTGCTTCAATTTATCGTTCATTCTCTGATGAATTGATGCTTGTGTTGTTTAAGATGTTCAAATCTGGATTGGATTGCTCTGTTTATCTGTATCAATTTTAGATTAATTGAACTGAGTGCCCTTTCACTGTGTAATTGATCTTCCAGTTCTACAATTTACCTGGAGTAATTTTTTTTCAATTGAAAAAACTCTGGCGTGTTTTTGCAATAATTTGAGGGCTGTTGAAATAGTCTAAAAGTGAAATCCCTTACTAAAATCCATTTCAACCACATAAGCAAGTCAAAAGCTCTACTTCACTATGCTTATAAGAAGAATAAGCGGCCCATATTGGGTAATTGCTACCAAACAGAGCCTCCGTGTCTAATTACATTTCGGGGCTAAAAAAATAGACTACTTTGTTCTTCATTTCCAAATTGCTAAAAAACGGCTTGCTGCAACATATGTCATGCCACAGAGACTTGAAATTGGTAAGTTTTGTTTTGCAACATGGAATATTGTGGACAATCATTGGACACTGATTTATTAGATGTTGCCCAGTTTGCAGGAAATGCATATATAAGAAGCTAACAGATGAGGACTCGGAGAGTTGCCCAATATGCAACATTGACTTGGGTTGTGTCCCGGAGGAGAAACTGAGGTCAGATGCTTTCCTAAACTCATTACTACCACATCCCAGTTATTATTATGCATTCAAATGCATAAACAATGTATTCTTGGGTTTTTTTTCATGAGACACATATATGATTAAACTACTGCCCATCATATCCAAATGATACAACAATGTGTAAGAAATAAAACAAAGTTATATGAAAAGGCGTTGTTAGGACCTCTAAAAATTTGAATTTAGGGTAGGCCGGGGGAGTAATTTATCTGTATATTATTTTATTGCAAATGTTTTAGACTTAAAAAATAACTTGTTAAGGAACCTGGGTGGGTTGGGGTGGGCCATGGGTTGGCCCACCCTTAGCTATGCCAGTGAACTTATATATGGATGTTAAGATGGTGATGTATGATATCATTTGGAGTAGGCTTTTTGTTGTGTTCCAAAGTTCTTTTCATCTAGACACTTAAGTTTTGATGGTGATTTTTTTATAATCTGATTACAAATTAATAACCAGTTCTCTGGCTCCCTGGAGTTACTAAATTTAGTCTAGATGTCCTCTATGATGATAAGATGGGGTGACTTACATCGATAGCGAAGATATAAGATTCTGATTTGTGACTATGGTATTATCACACCTGTTTGTGCAAAACCAAAAAAAATTATGAGCATTTTATCTAGGTTCTTATGCTTCATTCGTGGTTCGAATAGATTTTTTGGGTACAAGGCATAGAAGAAACTTGATAATGGACAATGTTGAGTTTTTCCCTCACCACATTTACGTCAGTATGTACCCCACGTATAAATGTATAATGTCGATAGCCCATTTGCCAGCATTAACTCCATGCATGCACTCACATGCTTGTATTGGTATGTAATTCACACGCAAGGAATATGAAGATAGAAATAAATGGATTGCACACTTTTGCTACAGGCCAGATAATACTTTGCAAGATGTAAGAGCAAAGATTTTTCCTTATAAGAGGAGAAAGGTAAAAGCACGCGATGTTATGTGTTCAGTTACATTACCATTGAAGCGAAAAGAGAGATCGTTGTCATCATTAGTGGTAAGCGCACCCAGAGTAACCGCACAATCTGGGATGACAGGGAGAAGATCAAAATATGTTGGTAGAAAACCATTACGAAGATCCACTTTTTCTATCAAGAAATCTATCAACAAAGATGAACCTTCTTCTGAAGGTCAGCTCGATAACTCCACAATACCAGTACCTGAGACTTTAGACAAATGTACTTATAATGTGAGGCAGGTAGATTAACATTGTCTGAATGTTTTCCATCTACTCGGTTGTATGTCTTATGTCATTTCCATATCCTGAACATAATATTTATTTATTTTGCTAGAATGTCTCCAATGAAGTTCCTTCTATTCATTCTGCACCTCATGAAGATATAGAAAATGACGCTAAAGAGTGGGAAAAAGATGTTGATATGTGGAGTCCTTTAAATTGTTTGGTTGAAGTCGCAAATAGGAGTAAATCTTCAAGGTTATTGCCAAAAGGTTCTGCCCTAAAATCAGAACCATCACATATTTCTGACATCGATGGATATGTCTATGAAACTAAAATTAGAGAGCATGGAAACAAGTTGAATGTTGAAGACGGAAAGTTGAAAAATTGTCCTACGCCAGAACAAGAAAAATCTAAAAAATTGCGAAGAATTCAAAAGAAAAAACCAGCTTTGGTGGAGTTCAATAATTCTCCAAATGTTGTGCTTGATAATCCAAGAGCTAAATTGGAAAGAAGTTATCCAATTTGGTTCTCCTTAGTGGCATCTGTCGACCAGTGAGATTTTGCTTTCCTTCCATAGTATATTATTATTGATATAACTTTATATATTTAGTCATGCATTTTTATCCCCCTGGTGTTTTATCATTTCTTATCCTTGGTTCAGGGCAGGAGGTGCACCGTTGCCTCAGATCTCTGCTAGCTACTTGAGAATAAAGTCAGTTCCTTTCTTCCCTTTTCATATTTAGGCTATAATGATGAGTTGACACATTTATTTGATGATCTCATGATCCTAAATTGACTAATTTAAATTAGACATGAGTTTAAGACTGGGATGTTGTTGCATTTGAGTTAAAATTATATAATTCCCAGATCAATTATTTAAACTTAGATTGGTTAGATCATTCGTATTTGTTAGAGAGGACATGAAGTATCCTCTATGGCCTGAGTAAATATTTGCGTAGGTGTTATTTATTGGTCCTCCC